CCTGTACAAGCCCCTTTGTGTATGTGGGTTGTACGGATAAAACATTTTGGCTGACAGGAATTTCTATCAGAACATCAGTAACTGGATTTCTCATACAGAACTGCCTTAATCACCTAATAAATAAAACTCTATTAATAATCAACTTTTTTACCTGATTATGCCTCTTCAACACATTGGCCCCTCTGAGTTTGAGAGGCATTGAAAAATTGAAGGGGATCCAGTGGGAACACAAAGATGGTTGGAGCGTTGGAGAACTTGACACATGAAGAAAGGCTGAAGGAAAGGGGTTTGTCCAGGCTAGAGGAGAGGAAGCTCAGGGGGATCTAGGCATTCTTCCAACACCTAAAAGGTTTATAGAAAAGACGCATTATCAGGTTCCAACTACTCAACATTAGCAGTGTTAGCTGGAACCGGATCCTGTGAAAAAGCCAAGGAAACAGTGTTGTAAACACAGGAACAGCTTGCCCAGACAAGTGGTCTCCCTTACTGCAGACATCCAAGGCCTGGTTTAGCAGGGCTTGGGATAACTTACTCTTCAATAGAAGGTTGGATAAGGTGATTTCCAGAGATCCCTTCCAACCCACACACTTCTCCAATTCTATTCTATGATTGTGCTAATCCTACTGATTACTGAAAACTCTATGTGGCTACATTCAACTGTCATTTTGATTAAACAGACTCTGTAAACTCAACTCTTCTGAACCAAATTTGACATGAATGTTGATAAAATTATGAAGTGTAAGTTGGTAAGAAAACAGGCATGGGCAATGTGTTTCCATTAGGTATTAATTTTTGGGGGGCATAAGTCTGGTATTGAGTATGACTGACCAACTGTATTGGTACATGCAAAATACACTCGTATTTTCCCTCTTCATTACTTTAAAGTACACCAGATAAAGTCCAAAGTGCATCTGGGGCCAAAGTTGCTCTTTATCCTTAGTACTGCAGCAGAAGAAAACCTCAGATCTACTAGTAACAAAGCCCACACCTACTTTTAAATCAACAGCTGTAATTTTTTGCCTTTCTGATAACTGTTAATAATATTTTTAAGACACTTGAGCTTAATTTTCTCCAATACACACTGAGATGTAATTCAGAGACTTACATTGCTATTTGATACTACACAGAAAATCCACACACCTGACCTGAATGACTAGCACAGAATCATCTGAGTTTGTGACAAGCTACTGCAGTGTAAAAAGTCATTTTTTGACACTTGCCAATACTTAGCAAGCAGGTTGTTGTTAAGTTAATGGGAGACTGAAATGACCTCCTGTATAAAAGAGATGGCTTCAAAAATTGTCTTAAACTGAGCATGCATGTACAAGATGCAGCTTGCTCTGATAGCTCTACAGAAGCGTTCACTCCCTAAGGACTAAAGCCATGTAAATGTTTTATTCATGTCAGTTATTCACATAAGTGGGTTTCACTTTAGTGTGTAACACAAGCCAGCTGGTTTGCTTCTTTTAAACTCTGATTTCTCATGCACTTCATATTGCTACACCCCCTTCAGAGATATTTATGGAAATTTCACAGCAAGCTGTCTCAAGCTTATGTGCTATTAAGATGCCATTCCAGGGTGTTTATTGCATTAGACTTATAACATGGATTTATGGACTCTGCTACTTGAAGGACCAATAAAACACTCTGGACATGAATTACTTCCACCTATTAATTAAATGACAGCTATTAATTAAAAAAAAATTTGACTGTTGGTAGCACATCCTAAAACTGCTGTGGATTTAAACAGTGCCATTGCAGCTTCTGTATGTCCTCACAACATAACTGCATAGTAAAAGTGGCAATTCATATATGAGTTTATTTGTGGCAGCGTTTAGGGAATTACAACCTTTTCTGTTTGTTATATAGATTGTAGAGGGTTAGTGTTGAAATAGTCTTAAATCCTTCATGGCTTTGCCTGTTATAAATAACAAAGAACGAAAGGACTAAAATTCACAGCCAAACAGCACAAGAAGGTTACAGTATTAGTGCCAGAGCTGAAAAGTATCAACTATTCTGCTAATTCCCATTCAAACAATTGGATTAAGTCTTATTGAAGATCACAGCCTGATAAAATGCACCTCCAGCTAAGTTCCTCCTGGAATGTTTTCAATATGAGGCACAATTTTCATGCTGAAATCTCTTCCATTCTGTGTCAGTAACAAGGGACTTGCACTACATTTGCTCCTTGCTCTAACTAACTTTCTCAAACAACTTGAAACGTATCACAAACAGCAGCAAAAAGTATGAATTCTTAATCACACAAAAAGCCTTACAGTCTGTACAGACTTTTGGAAACAGCGCTGCAAGCAAAATAAGGAAATAGGTGAAAGGAATGTTAATTACTCTGATCTCTTACTGAACGCTCAGTTAAGTTTGTTCTAATGAGCTGAAATAAGAACTGTTAGCCCAGCTCTTGTCCCCTTCTCGACAATTAGAACTGAGAGATTTTCCTTGTCTGCCATGGAAAGACTGACAGGGGGGACTCCTGAGCACTGACTGCAGAAGGTGACGACAGCAATTCTGGAGCGTGATCATCTGTAATGCTGGGAGCACATTAGGAAATATGGTGGGAAAGACATTCCAATTCAAGGTTCAACAGGCAAAGATCAGATAGGCCACAACTCCTAAAAAACCTCCTGCCAGCCAGATCTGTAGTTTCAGCAAGGGGGATGATACAAATATCGGACGCTTTCTGCAAGTTAAGCTCCCACCACCTGGATTAGCTGAGATTCAAGCTCTGCAATATGAACATTTGCAATAATTCAGCTTCCAAATGCAGCTCTTTTAAAAGACAATTCTCAAGCATACTCAGCAAATCTAGATTCCTTTTAAGGACCAATGGAACAGTGCTCTATTCTAATAGTTTCTTTTGTATTTATTTAAACTGCTAAACAATTGACTTTCTGCAGGACATCAAGACTCTTTTTAATTTCCTAAGTTATTTTTCTGCAATATTTCTGCTATAACCCCATGTACTAACCTACATCTGTCTGAAAATAAAAGCCACCCTTTGATTAGAGCTGGAATGTACTATCATACATGGTGTGTTCGAAAACCTCTGCAGAAAAAAAAAGAAAAAAAAAACATGTCTGCTTTAATATATCTAGCTCGAGGCACCATGGGGTTAGTTAAGGACAACGGAGCAGCCAGTTTGGAAAAAAAAAAAAGAAGAAAAAAAAAAAGAAAAAAGTCTCTGCTTTTCTTGGCTGCCTAATGCACAAACTTCAATGCTATTTACGTGACTTTGGTAAAAGTCTGGGATTAGAGATCTATTCACTGTCCTTCCTGTATTTTAGGAGTGTTTATAGAAGCTCACCTTCAAAATACCATCTTTTTATATGCCATCTATAGGAATTAAACAATATGTCAAATGCAGTTGATAGAAAAACTGGCTATTAAATAATGGCTCATTATATCTACATATATACAGAATGGAGATGAATTATAATTTTAGCAAATTGCTTCAATCTTTAACAGAAATAATAAAAAGCTACTACACTTACATGGTTACACTTTCACTATCTTCTAGAAAAAAAAAGCAAAAATCTGCCCAGTTCACTACCGGGAGCTTCTGGGAAACATAACATGAGCTGCTGCTTTTTGATGCATTTTTACTCCTGAACTGCAGAACACAATTAAAAATAATCTTTCCTTTCCTATAGAATAGAAAAAAAAATCCCACAGCTTTTATGAAGTAGGTCTTGGTAAAGAAGCTTGCAATTCTCTGCCTGCTGGACATTAACAAAATTTAAACCATACTGCATATTTTGTAGTCAGTTAAAAAATAATGTCATGCTTTCTTCATTTGTTGTATATAATGAACTTTCTTTCATTAAATAAGTCTTTTAATTAAGAAAAGCTGAAAAGCAAATAACTAGAAGGTCCCAGTCTTGGTGTTTTCTTTTTTTTAAATCTCTCTTCAGATGGATACTGGTTTTTAAAGCTTTTGTAGAGATTTTCTTTGTGCTTTAGACACTGCATTATTGTAATATCTCTTCAATGTCACCCTTCCTCTAGTCCCTGGAGAGATTTGTAAAACGTATTTGTTTGAAAGAGCTTCCATACAATTACAGTTAGCTCCTGATAGCGACATATTTTTCTACTTTTTTTTTGCAGGACAGTATAATAGTTCCTCACTCTCACGTCTTTCTGAACACTAAGTGAAATTCACTATTGGTTACTCTAAATGTTTCTAATAAGCCACTTACAGTGAAAGGTATGGCTCTATCTTTGACAATACCTGCCAAATAAAGAGCAAACCCATGGACCTGTAGGTATAATTTGCGTAGAGTAGAAATTCAAAACAATAAAGATTTTTTTAATGTATTTTTGGGAATACTGGAGTGAAGATAGTCTTGTTTTGTGGCTTGAACTGCTAGATTTGCATACATGTGACTGAGGCTTTCAACAGGCCTAACCTGTATGTCTTGACAAGTACTTATACATGCAGAATGAGAAATGCAACTTTGTAACAGGCAGTTTCAGTGGCACTGTCTATAGAAAGAAAGTTCTTAACCTGCAGGAAATGATCAAGTGAAATACCAAAACTCTGTGAAGCTCAAGTTAACTAAGCTATGGTTAACATCTTAGATGCTAAACCTACAGTTTAATGACTTTTGTCTAAATGAATGGTGCAGCAGCTTGACCTGTCTTGATCATTTAGGAATCATAACTAAGTGTTTTCAGTCCTTTTCTTTCATTCTCTTGCAACAACAAAATGACCTATTTCCAGACAAGGAAGCAAAATGTGATTTCAAGAAAACAACTCTGCTATGTTCTGATACAACCATGGATAGTTTAGGACACAAACGAATTTGCTGCTTAAGAGATACCCCACATGATTTTAAGTGATAAGTGATGGCAGTAATAAAGCTGGGCATAAAACATATCATAGCTTTGTAATTTTACTAAGCTTTCTGTTGATTCCAGGTTTAGAAATGCTTACCTTGCTGGGTTTTTATTTTACCTTCAACATGTTTTTCCCCAGAAATACTCACTTGATGAAGTATTTGATTCCATCAGCTGTATAAGCTTCTTCCCATCCATAAGGTAGACCTAAGGTGAAAGAGAGAAATAAGATGACTTGCAAAGATAGGGAGCCACAAGAACCATACAGTTTTGAAATAAGGCATAAAAAGATTATACAGGAATTCTTAACACTTTTGTGACGCCTAATATAAACATTAAAGTCTTTTCTCTTTTTAAATTTTAATTGTTGTGCTACAAAGCTATAAGCCATTAGACAAGACTTTTTCTGCTAACAATTATTTTGCAGAAGCTGACAGTTTGGTAGAATTACAGAGTCCAGCAGATGGAAATTCCCCTCCATGAGGAAAATCAGTAATACTCTTAGTAGGGTACTATGCTATAGCTCTTAAAACATTCAGTTTTCATAGGAAGTCCTTACCGTTTTTCTTACTGTTGGTTCCACACTAACTGTTCACAGAGCTTGAAAAGAGCTGGAGAAAGCAGCATCAGCCAGTGTGCAAAAATGCTCCCCATGTATTCTGTTGTGATACTATATCATAATGTACATAAAGTGCAAGGTCCTAAAAGCAAATAAAACCCCTTCAGCCTCACCCATTTTAAAGGCTAGAAATAGCTATAAAAATAACACATGTATAAATATTTGTTCCTGTGCTTTAGCTTGAAAGTCATCTGGAAATGTTAGTGTCTTAGGAGTTAAACTACTTTTTTTCAAGTCACAATATATCTCCAAGACCAACTCATTAGTACCATCTGGGAGCCTGCTTTAGATTTAAAACTTTTATTTGGAAAATGTGCTGGACTGCACGCAGCATATGGTCCTCTAAAGCTTCTTTGTACCAAGACATGTCTTAAGTCTACTCAAATTTTCTTTAAAAATCCTTTCCTAAACCACTCAATTTCTTTTCTCCTGTTTTCATACCTCCGTCTCCAGTGTTGTTATTACTTCCTAAAAACCTGGAAAGGGAAGACTCCACCTCTTAAGGATAAACAGAGTCCATCAGAGCTACAGAGTCATTACTTCAGGGCACAGTGAACGAGGTACAAACTATCTGAGAAGTCACTAAGGCTGTGAGGCACCAAATGTATCTACTGACACACCAAAGTGCCAGAATTCAGAGAGGTAACCTGAGAATTGGTACACACAGAGGCATGCCAGTTTGAAATGCTAATTTGACTGATTTCCCTCTCCTAAGAGATAGAAATTTTATTCAAAATGGAAATTTTCTAACTATTTAAATGGAAATAGGACTGCATCCTTTAATTGCTACCACCTTCCCAGTCTTCCCTCACTCCTGCATGTCTCCATATGCAAGTCCAAAATAAAGGACAACAAATTTGCTGAATTATGAATGAAACCCATGTCTGATCTTTGCTTATGCTTTCAGAAGTCTGCTACACATCTCCCATTTCATTCAGCGGGGACAGTTATACTATTTTTACTATCTCGTTTTTTTCTTGTAAATGAAAAATGATAGGGAAGTAATTGATTCTCTGTGTTCTTTTCTTAACCAGGAAATACTATGCTTTTTAAAACCACTGAATATGTCATCCATATGTGAAATGCTGTATTTATTCTCCACTGCTTTATCTCCCCTCTTAATGCGCATCAGATAATATACCCCATGCATTCTTCATATGCTTCAAAGCTCCACCTACATCAGTGATTTTGTCTTTTACTTTCTTTATTTTCATTCTTTCCCCATGAGTCTTTCCCTTTAGTCTTTGTTTTCACTGGCAGATTTATGCTTGCACTTCCTCATATCTCCCATAGTAGGCAGGAGACTCCTGTTTTCCCTGGATATCCTCATGGCTTCCAGCTCCTTTCCCCCATGAATCATACATAAATTGATCCACTACCGAGTGCTCTATTTTCACGCCCTCCAGGATCAGATTTCTGACCTGTCCTAGAGCTCAGTTTGAAAGACTCCTAGACTTTCACCTGCAGGTAAAGGAGCTCAAACAGAAATGCACTCTGAGAGCTCCAGGATTTGACCTACTGTTGTAGTTTCAGTTTCCTACATATTTATTGTTTCCTCTGTGAAGCACTACATTCTCTGATGGAACTTCATAAATAACATATCTTGGATCAAGTTAGCTTCATATATCATCTTTTAGAAAAAAAACCCCACAATATTCAAAAACAAACTTCAGCAGAAAACTCAAGGCATTTTGCTAATCAAATATTTGTGGTTTTTTTTTTCAAGGTAAGTAGAAGGTAATAGTCTAAAAGTAATTATCAACAGTGTCAAAATAACTATCAACATAAAAGAAGGGGAATATAGTCCAAAGCACCCTTTATCAAAGTAGAACAGTTTAACAAGAGAGGGAATGTCAGCCAAAACACGTTCTAACCTAATATTATTTTGTTCTGAGTGTATGCACTTAATTAGGGTTAAGGCAAAGGAAATGTGTTATTCTGTGTGGGAAAAAAAAAAGAAATGAAGAAACCCCACAAACCTTTTGCAGTGTTTCAGTACTGTTGCAGCTAAGAGAAGCAGCAAAGCAGTCTCCCTGGTGACCGCCTTCCTTCTCAGCTGCAAGATGTCTGCAGTGATAACCACTGCTGTCGAGTTAATGTTACATAAAGCAGAACGGGAATGAGAACAGTAGAGCTAACAAAAATTCCCCAGCAGTTGACAAAGTCTGCATCTCACTGATTTTATTTATCACTTCTTGGGCCAGAAAATTGCCCCAAGAATGACGTTCTGTTGGTTACATATAAGGAGAAAAATAGACATCGGGACAAATTATGAACTAGTATGAAGTTTGGGATTTTGAGCACTGCTTCTAAGAGCAGATGCATCTGCTCTCACCCAGACTTCAGTATGGCTTTCCTGGGATAAAGGCTGCAAACAGCTTAATCAAAGAGTGTCACCATAGGAGGAAGGGGAAACTCAGTTTGTGACAACTGCCCTCAGCGACATTTTACAAAGAAGGGCCTGAGAGGCCAAGGCTAACAGGCTGATTCAATGCAAAACAAGGTATTTTTTAAATTCATGACTAAAGAATTAGAACTATTCAACTTCAGTTTGCAGTTCTCTGTTTCAGTGCCCATTTTAAAAGCAATTCCAATTCATTCCTGTCTTGATTGAATTGAATCTTGTCTCAACTGAATTTTCTTATGCACAAAGAGCCTAGTTTTATTAGACAGTTATCTAACCTATAAATTGTGTAGTGCTATAGATTCATTTTAAATAAGCTAGTTAAAATATTATTTTAGAAAAAGAAATGTGGAAATGATTAGGTGAGCACATACATTCAAATGAAGTAAAACTGGCACATACTTAGTATCATACTCTAGTAGGTAAACACTACAGCCCAAAATGTTTTAGTTCCATATTTTCTGACAAAATTATGTGGAGGAAATGAGTGATTCAGAGACTACATTAAGAACTGACCAAGAGAATTACTGTTCACTAGGATTCTATATAGATTTGCCCAAAGTGGGACTACTCAGGTGCTTGAAGACAAACATGCTCTTAGAGGCTTTAATTGTGCTCTCAAGGCCAGACTTTACAACCCTGCTCCCATTAGCAGCAGTTGCACAAACGTTGTTGATGAATCCAGACACGCTGCTTAGGGATAGCTGCTTCCCAAGGTAATCACTGCTCTCTCAAAACTCTTTTGTGAAGCATTACCTTATTTCCAGCACTGTTCACAGCTTTGCAATCCACAGTACAAAGGCAGCCTGTCTACAATTCATTCTCCTGTCAAGGCTAAACAGCTAAACAACCTCACGGCTGTATCATTAAACCACCTTTGCTGGAAGAAATACAAAGCATCAACCTAAGGAATGCCATTTCTATCTAGATTTCCCAAGTGGAACGGTACATTTATTCAGTCTCACATTTTTTGACCAATAAGAGAAACAGAGATGTCTGTCTGTGTATTCTTTGACATAGCTTGACTTTTTTTTGTTATATTTTTCTAAAGAAACAAGTCATGATCTAGCTCTGAACTACCTTTTGATTACCTCTTGATGTTTTAGTTGTATTTAATGTTAAAGTTCTTCAAAATTATGTTTTTCGAAAAACAGTATTGCCTGTTAAAAGTATTTCTGATCAATTTGACAAGGGATATATTAAGCATTTTTCTCCTTGTCTTTTGATAAAGTGAAATTTTGAATTCTGAGCTCTTTTCAATACCTAGAAATTCAGCAATATACTGTTATCAGTATTTAAACCTTCCTCATATGGCCTTGGTAAAAAAAGGAAAATCCCTTTGCCTTAACGCAAAGAGGAGAAAGAGCTGAAGACCCTACTACCTACATCATCCAGCTTGGGCTCCTGAGGACTCCTGGAATATGGGAATATCCCAGGTATGAGACTAAATAACCATATGATTTGAGGCTGGCAGAGGAATTCCTTGGTAAGCTATGCAATTTGGCAGAGCTAAAGCAAAAATCTGTGGAGAAATATCTAACCATCCTTGTCACGCACGTTCTACTGCATTCAGGCATAACATGGCTCTCTGTTTTTGAGGCAGTCAATAATATTTATTGTGTTCTGTTGCTCATTCTTGAGTTACCTATAAAAACTCAGGTTCAATAGAAAACAGCTTTCCGAACAGCGTGTTGTCTGGCGGCATTTGTTTCTGTGCCACTTTATTTTTTCAGACCATTTCTAGTGCTTTTCTCACAAACAAATGTCTTTCATCTAATGAATAATACTCCAAGGGGACATTCCATTCCTTTCTTCTCCATATCAAATTCCATTCTAAAGAAATCATTCTTTTTTGTCTTTTATGTTGGTGACTTAATAAATCAAAGATGGAGTAAGTAGTTTTCAAGTGGAGACAGCTGGGAAATACTAGCAACTGAAATTTATGCTGATTTTGAATACGGTTGGCAGATTGGCTCCTCTCCCTTCAGAAAAGTTCCTGTAAACTGTCCTTCAGGAAAAATATTCTTCTTTTTTGGATATTCAGAGGTTGGTGACAGATGACAATGTGCTTCCTCATTTCCTATTAATCATACGCTATTGACTCATCTATGTTGGCAAACTCATTCGTCTTTTATCAAAACAGTAAGTCACACCACGTAACAATTAAGTATCAGAGTTATAAAA